TAGAGAATCCCAAGCAGACTTTATGCTGTCAGCACAGAGGTCGATGTGTGCCTTAATCCCATGAACCGTGAGATCATGACCTGTGCCAAAACTGATAGTTGGATACCTAACTGAGCCACCCAGGCATCCCATCTTTTGAGATATTTTGAGACTCACATTCCAGTTGTAAAAAATTGTACATGTGCTGTTTACCCTGTTTCCCCCCATGGCAACGTCTTGCATCAAACTCTATTACAACAGCACAACCAGGAGGTTGACATTGATCCAGTAAGCATTACAGAACATTTCCATCACCCCCAGAATCCCTGTTAATGCCCTTTTATAGCCACACCCACTTTCCTCCCCCACTTCCCTCCGTCCTTAACCCCTGGCAGCAACTGATCTGTTCTCCATTTCCGAAATTCTATAATTTCAAGAATGTTACGTGAATGAATTGATGCAATATGTAACCTTTTGGCTTTTTCACTGGCATAATTCTTTGGAGATTTCACATATCAAGAGTCTGTTCCTTTGTATGGCTACGTAGTGTGCTGTGGAGTGGGTGCACCGTAGTGTGTGTGACTGTTCACCTGCTAGAAGACATCTGGGTTGTTTCTAGTGTTTGGAAAGTTCCCAACAGGAAGGGAACCCTGGAACCCTCCAGCCTTTTAGGGGCTAGGCTCCTTCCACATCCTGCTATCCTGCTTTCAACCCCACTCCTGAGCCCATGCCCTGCGCTGCATCTCTACAGCTGTCTGGATTCTGAAACCTACCTGCCAACCACAGCTTTCCTCCTTCCCCTTTACTTCCTGCCTCCCCCAACCTTGTTCTTTTCTCTGCACACTGACCTCTAGCCCTCGAGCCTGCCTGTTCTCCCCACCATCTCCTAGGCTTTATGTCTGTCATCCAAGCCCTATATGTCCAATAAGCTGGAAATTAGATCAAAGAGCTTGACCACTGGATCTGGGAGCCCTGACTCTTCTTCCTTTTGGTCAGCTGCTGTATCCACCTGCCAGACTACCAACTCCAAATCAGTCCCGTGGCCTAATTCCTTTACGTTAAATTTTTTTAATGTTTATTTATTTTTGAGAGAGAGAGAGACCAGGGAAGGGACAGAGAGGCAGGATGACAGAGAATCCAAAGCAGGCTCTGCACTGATAGCAGCAACCCTGATGCAGGGCTCGAGCTCATGAACTGTGAAATCATGACCTGAGCCAAAGCTGGAAGCTTAACCAAATGAGCCGGCTCGGCATCTCTACTTCCTTTACGTTTAAACCCGGAACTGCTGGGACGTCCTGGAGAGTCACACAGCCTTAGGAATTGGGACCACTAATTCCTGGTCTCTAACCTTAGCTAGGCTGTGAGTACTGCTCAGCAGTCCTTTGCCACTCGCCTCAAGCCATCCACCACCCTGCTCCAGTCAGTCAGTAGAGAACTTCATTCAGTGGTTCTCAACCCTGGTGTACACCAGATTCACCTAAACAGCTTCTCAAACTACCAGTGTCCAGGGTCCCACCCTAGACCATCTGCCTCAGAATCCCTAGAGGATGGGGCCTGGACCTTGGTGGATTTTTTATTTATCTTTAAAAAAAATTTTTTTTTAATGTTTATTTAGTTTTGAGAGACAGACAGAGCGTGAGTAAGGGAGGGGCAGAGAGAGAGGGAGACACAGAATCAGAAGCAGGCTCCAGGCTCCGAGCTGTCAGCACAGAGCGTGATGCAGGGCTGGAACTCACAAGCTGTGAGATCATGACTTGAGCTGAAGTTGGATGCTCAAGTGACTGAGCCACCCAGGCGCCCCTCAGAAGCACTGAGGACAGTTCTGAACTGCTGCCAGAGTAGAGAAACACTGACCCAGTGTCACAGGGTTGGTGTGAGGATTTCATGAGAGAACGCATGTTAAGTGCTTAGCACATGCCTAGCAATTGTTAACTTTTAAATCTTAAGTTTTAGCAAGAAAATGGAAACCAGACTTAGGGGTAGGAACTTGTTGGCTTTCCGGACCCCTCCCAACAAAATTCTCGTCACACCTCCCTGCTCTGTCTTCTCATTTTTCTTTCTCTAAGGCTAACGAAGTTTTCAAGCAGTGCTCTGAGTGCCAGTCGTTCTCCTGCGTTATCTCTGCCCTCTTTCTTTGCTCTGTCTTTCCTTCTTTACAACCTTTCTGTCTTTACTGCATCTTTCCCTTCATTCTGAGACTCTGCCCAAGGACCTTTAAAATGTGTACGTGTCTGGGGTGCCTGGGTGGCTTAGTCGGTTAAACGTCCGGCTTTCGCTTAGGTCATGATCTCGCGGTTCGTGGGTTCGAGCCCCGCGTCGGGCTCTGTGCTGACTGCCAGCTCAGAGCCTGGAGCCTGTTTCAGTCTGTGACTCCCTCTCTCTCTGACCCTCCCCTGCTCACGCTGTCTCTCTCTCTCTCTCTCTCCTAGAAATAAAAATAAAACATTAAAAAAAAATAAAATAAAATGTGTACGTGTCTGTGACCATTTTCTTCTAAGATCCCTTTCTCCTTTTCGACCTCCGGTGGGGGAGTGCCCCACATGCATTCCCTTCCCGCCTCCCATCCCCTCCTCTGTCTGCCCACCGCCATCTGGCTTCTGCACTTTCTACTCCTCTGAAACTGCTTTTGCTAAGGTCATCAATCACTAATTGGATAAATTGGTTGTACTTCTTCTGATCACTCTGCAGCGTTTAAACCTGTTGACCATTTCCTCTCTGAAACTTTCTTTTGCCTTGGTTTCTGTTAACATACCTTTCCTACCCCTCTGGCCTTTCCTTTTGTATTACGGTTATTGAAATTTTTTTCTTTGCTTACTGCTTAGATGTTAGTGCTCTCCAGGCATGTCTTTAGCCTATGTTTCTCCTATTCTTATTCTATGTAGCCTCCCTGAGCAATCTCATCACCTCCCGTAGTGCCAGCTACTACCTCCATGCTAATCACTCTCGAATTTTCTCTGTGGGTTGGCTCTCTTCTTTTTTTTTTTTTTTTTAAGTTTTTTTTGTTTGTTTTTAAATTTTTTTATGTTTTATTTATTTCTAAGAGAGAGAGAGAGAGAGACAGCATGAGCAGGGAAGGGTCAGAGAGAGAGGGAGACACAGAATCCGAAGCAGGCTCCAGGCTCTGAGCGACGCGGGGCTCAAACCCACAAACTGGGAGATCATGACCTGAGCCAAAGTCGGATGCTCAACCGACTGAGCCACCCAGGTGCCCCTATTTGTTTGTTTTGAGAGAGAGAGAGAGAGAGAATCACAGGAGGGGCAGAGAGAGACTCCCAGGCAGGCTCTGCACTATCACTGCAGAGCCTGACGTGGGGCTTAAGCCCGCAAACAGTGAGATCATGACCTGAGCCAAAGTCGGATGCTCAACCGACTGAGCCACCCAGGTGCCCCTATTTGTTTGTTTTGAGAGAGAGAGAGAGAGAGAATCACAGGAGGGGCAGAGAGAGACTCCCAGGCAGGCTCTGCACTATCACTGCAGAGCCTGACGTGGGGCTTAAGCCCGCAAACAGTGAGATCATGACCTGAGCCAAATTCAAGAGTCAGATGCTCAACTGACTGAGCCACCCAGGCACCCCAGGGTTGGCTGTCTTCTTGGATGCCAGTCTTACACAGTTGCCAGTTGGTCACATTGCAAACCCCACAGGTACTACAGAGCCATTATGTCTAACCTGTCAGATTATCCAGACCAGAATACTTGTTTGTTCGTGTATAAAGTGCTGGGTGGCCTCGCCTTTCTGTGATCATGAATGCTGTAATTCAGTCCCAGTAACTGAACCAGAAGGTTGCTTTATGAGTGTAGAAGCATAAAGAGGCAGGCATTCTAAATGCTCTTTTGGCCAGGCCAACTTGAGGCCCTCCTTGATGAACTGTCCTTGTTTCCCAACATATCTCTCTCTAGTGTCCAGCTTGTTCCTGTCTGCCCAGGACAGTACATTCTGTACATCCCGTACATTCTGTACAAGTTTGCCTCTCTGAGCCCTGCTTTTTTACACATTCTTTCCTTCGCTATCAAGGTTCCTATCTGCTGCGTAGCTCCTCCAGTCAGGAAGTTATTCCTGTGGACCTAGAATGCCCTTGCCCCCAATTCCAGTAGTTGAACCCTGAGGACAACCTTGATTTACTTGTCTCTACACCTATAAGGGAGACACCTTTAGCCCCCATCCCAGTGTATCACTTACAATATGAAACAATGGATTGTGTTTGAGAAATTGGAAATCCTGCAAAATGGCTACCTTGACAAAATCAGTTTTCAAGATAGAGTGATTTTAATAAAAACAAATGGCTTTATGTGAACATAGGTCAAACTTGAATACTTTATAGGGTTGAGTATTCTTAATCAACGTATGATACTTTTTCAAAGTATTGAGTTGTGAGGAGGCTTTAAACATTGGGCCTCTTTTGGTAAAAAGTATTTCCTAGTGGTTTTTAAAATAGCATCCCCACTCTGATGGAATAATGGCTAACCTTTATTTATTCCTTGAATGCATTATCTCAGTCTTCATAACCCCATGAGAACCCATAGGTACTATTCTTATCTCACTGCACAAAGGGGCAGATACTTAGAGGTTTAAGAAAATGCCTACAGTCAGGGTGCCTGGGTGGCTCAGTCAGTTAAATGTCTGATTTCAACTCAGGTCATGATCTCATGGTTTGTGGGTTCAAGTGCCACATCGGGCTCTGTGCTAACAGCTCAGAGCCTGGAGCCTGCTTCAGATTCTGTGTCTCCCTCTCTCTCTGCCCTTCCCCTGCTCGCTCGCTCGCTCTCTCTCAAAAATAAAGACTTAAAAATTTTTTAATAAAAAAATTTAATTAACAAAACCAGAGTTCTGAGATAGTGTCCTGACACAGAGAACAAGCTGTGGCCATTGCCCAACTAAGCAGATTTCAGGATTTTCTGTTGCCATGAACCTGATCTGTTTTTTTCACTACTGGGGGTAACCTAGACCTGACTGCTGTACTGTGAGAAAAGGAGTTGTTTGAGTCTCCCAGATAAATTTTGTGACCGTACTTTTTACTTGTAGGTCAGACACATTCTGTGCGAAAAACATGGGAAAATCATGGAAGCCATGGAAAAGTTGAAGTCTGGAATGAAATTCAATGAAGTAGCCGCACAGTATAGTGAAGATAAAGCCAGGCAAGGGGTATGGTGCTGTTATCATTTATCCCCCCATGGAGGACACGCAGCAGTACGGGTTGTTTCTGTATTCTGCCTTTAATTTTAGCCGTATCTTGGTTGAAAGATCTTAAGAGCAGAAAAGCATGTCCAGCTTGTGAACAGATGCATACAGGGCACCTGTTGTCTGAGACAAGTCACGGCCAAACTCGCACAGCTGACAGGCACCCGGCAGCATTGTGAGTGCCTATGTGTGCAGTCCAAGGTTAGATCTCTTCCACCCATTTGTTCTTGTTGAGCCCACTTCTTTACAGCCCAGGCAAATAAACCTAGGAACCTTAGCATTCACGTTGGGAAATTCTCAAGCTACCGTAGAACTGTTTCCTCTTGGGGCACCTGGGTGGCTCAGTCGGTTGGGGGGCCGACTTCGGCTCAGGTCATGATCTCACGGTTCATGGGTTCGAGCCCCACGTCGGGCTCTGTGCTGACAGCTCAGAGCCTGGAGCCTGCTTCAAATTCTCTGTCTCCCTCTCTCTGACCCTCCCCTTCTCACACTGTCTCTCTCTCTCAAAAATAAATAAAACGTTAAAAAAAATTAAGAACTGTTTCCTCTTGAGGGCCACCTAACATCCTATCTTTTGTGTTTTTCAGGGTGACTTGGGTTGGATGACCAGAGGTTCCATGGTGGGACCATTTCAAGAAGCAGCATTTGCCTTGCCCATAAGTGGGCTGGATAAGCCTGTGTTTACAGATCCTCCGGTTAAGACAAAATTTGGATATCATATTATTATGGTTGAAGGGAGAAAATAAAATTGTACGGAAGACTGACAGCATTTTATTCAATTCTGTTTGTTTCTTTAAAAGGTGTTGAGTAGTCCCTGAATTTTATGAACTCTGTCATTGTGGGTTTGTAGGCACAGAATGAGGCGGGGAAAGGTTAGTGCACACTATAGCAGGCATCCAGTCAGCCGTTCTCACAGATAAGTCATGCAGGGGTGCCCAGCTGGCTCAGTTGGTAGAGTGAGTTCGAGCCCCACATTGGGTGTAGAGTTTACCTAATTAAAAAGATTTTTTTAAAAAAGAAGTCAGGCAGGCTCCTTTTAACCTGAAGTCTCTTTCCCCTCAGAACTACTTTGTGATTCTGTGTATCCCGTAAGTTAATTTAAAAATCATCTCTAGGATGATTCACCTGGTTCACACTATTCACGCACGGAGTTGGACATCAAATAGATGGATTAGCATATGAAAATCCTAAAATAAGGAATAGGCAACTCTTGTTTTATAAGTTAGCCAGATTTGATCTGCCAGGACAGTTATTAGCTCCAGTGTCTTAATATGCTGTCCATAATGGCCATTCAACATGAACTCTTTATGAACTCTTCTTTTTAAATAAACATTTATTGCAAGAATAAAGGCACTCAGTTCTTCTGGTTGTCTATACTAGACTAAGCAGCCAATATTCTGTGTATCTGCATTCTTCATTTTACATTCCCATATTGATAACATACAGAAATGTATAAAGAATTATAAATACTGTACTGCTTCAAAAATAAAACTTTACCTACACAACCATGTGATTCTTCACAGTGATTCTTTTAGGACACTGTGTTCTTGCTCAGCTGCATTTGACATAGAAGTTTCTTATTTTAGAGGAGTTTCTGGGCATCCCCAGCAGGTTAGTCCTCCAGATTTTCCCCACTGAGCAGACTAACGGATGCTCCATTCCCTCAGATACAGACATACCAGTATGATATTGAGAGATGTTCGAAATAGTAGGCCTAAGATGAAACTTCTAAAAACCCCACTCAAAACAATGTGTCTAACTAAGGGCTGTAAATTTGGAAAATCTTGAAGAAAATTTTGAAAAGCTTTATATGTGTAAGCCACTACCTAGTTACCATCCTTTGCTCAGGACATTGACTAACCCAGGATACTGAGTGAATAACTTTGGCAGGGTGTCACCCACAAAGGAAAACGTGCTGGAAAGGTAAAGTAGAAAAAGCAAACTAGGGGCACCTAGATACTTCAGTCGGATTGGTGTCCAACTTTGGCTCAGGTCATGACCTCGCGGTCCAGGAGTTTGAGCCCTGTGTTGGGCTCTGCTGGCAGCTTGGAGCCTGGAGCCTGCTTTGGATTTTGCGTCTCCCTGTCTCTCAAAAAAAAAAAAAAAAGTAAAAATTTTTTTAAAAAAGAAAAAGCAAACTAATTTGTGGCATAGAAAGAGAAAGTAGCGATAACTAGCTTGTGAGAAAGCAAAGCAAGAATGGGTCTCTGACACCAAGCAACCCTTTGGGAAGTTACCTTTGAACTAGCGACTAAGGTTCTAAAGGAGTTGATCAATGAGAAAATTAAGGATTTATACCGACTTATACATATTATAACTGAATGCACATGCATTCAGTTCTCCTTTGAAACTGCATCTTTTTTATTAAGTTCAATGCTTAACAAACCAACTTCATTCAGAGTAAAATAATTGTAAATTAAAACCAAAATGAGATCTTGCTTTTTACCTATCAGATTGGCAAAGTTCAAAACATTGAACTTTATTTCATATCCTTAAAGTATGCTTACTGGGGCGCGTGGGTGGCTCAGTGGGTTAAGCGTCTGACTTCGGCTCAGGTCATGATCTCACGGTTCATGGGTTAGAGCCCCGCATCGGGCTCTGTGCTGTCAGCTAGCTCAGAGCCTGGAGCCTGTTTCGGATTCCGTGTCTCCCTCTCTCTCTGGCCCTCCCCTGCTCATGCTCTGTTTCTCTCTGTCTCAATAATAAAATAAAACATTAAAATAAATAAAAATGTTTATTTTTGGTAAGAGTATGAGTAAACAGGTATTCATTAATGGTGGAATGTAATTATAATCTCTAAGGAGAATAATTTGGCAATATCTATCAAAATTATAAATACAGGGGTGCCTGGGTGGGTCAGTTGGTTGAGGATGACTCTTGATTTTGGCTCAGGTCATGATCTCACAGTTCATGAGTTGAATGCCGCATTGGGATCCACGCTGACAGTGCCGAGTCTGCTTAGGATTCTCTCTCTCTCTCTCTCAAAAGAAAAAAAAGAAAAATTATAAATACACCCTTGCACCCAGCAACTCCATTTCTAGGAATTTATCCTACAGATATAATCACATGTGTAAAAGGTACAAGGATATTCATCAGTGTCAGAAATAAACGGACTATGTCAGTAAATGATAAATGGTATATCCATTCAATAAAATATACAGCTGTGTTAAAATTAAAAACTGGTGCAGAACAGCATATATACGATCACATGGGTAAAACCATAGATATACAAACATATCCTTGTGCTTGTACATACATAGACTGTTCTTGGAAATGGCAATCCAGAACTGAGGGCAAGGGCAGATAAGACACCTTATTTCATACCCTTAGATCAGGGGTCTTAATCTGTTCTGTGCCCATGGAGCCCTTTGGCAGTTTACACAAGCCTATAGATCCCTTCTAAGTTGCTTTTATTTTTATTCTTTTTTTTTTTTTTACTTTATTTATTTATATATATACAGAGAGAATCCTAAGCAGGCTCTATGCTGTCAGCACAAAGCCCGACACGGGGTTCAACCTCATAAACTGTAAGATCATGACCAAGCCAAAATCAAGAGTCAGACATTCAACAGACTGAGCCACCTAGGTGCCCCTATCTGCATTTTTTTTTAATGTTTTGCTTATTTTTGAGAGAGAGAGGGAGACAGCGTGAGCAGGGGAGGGTCAGAGAGTCACAGAATCCGAAGACAGGCTCCAGGCTCTCAGCAGCTGTCAGCACAGAGCCCAATGCGGGGCTCTAACCCATGAACCGTGAGATCATGACCTGAGCTGAAGTCAGACGCCTAACCGACTGAGCCACCCAGGCGCCCCATGTAGTTCCTAAGTTGTTGTATATACGATATGTAGATTTAAATGATACATTTTATATTTTCTTGAGTTCTGTGTGCTGTCCTAATTATTGAACCTGGAGGTACAGTCACGGGAATCCTCAACTTGTAGCCAGGTTGAACAGAAGTGTGGATAATATGGGGGCCTGATACCAGCAACTGTCACCCGAAGTGAGGGCAGTTTTATGGGAGTGAGTCCTTAAACCTGTGGAGTCTGACCAGAACTCCAGGCAGTGTCAGAACTGAGTTGAACTGTAGGACACCTGCGTGGAGATCTGCTGAGAACTGGAGGACTGTTTGGTGTGGAAAACCTCCCCCCATCTGAAGTCAGAAGCATTGTCAGTAAAAGCTCAGTACATTCAGTGAAGCAAAGACAGTTTATTATAGTAACTTTTCACTAAGTAACACATGGTTTAAAAAAATCCATTTCACTCCCTTGGGCAGGTCACAGCCTCACTGAGTCTTAGTTTCCTCAACTACAACAAAGTAAATGTCACCCTCAACCTCAAAGGATTACAGTAAGGATTAAACAAGGAACCTATGTAGAATGCCCAATATACAGCAGGCACTCCATAAAAGCTAGTTCCACTTCTTGAGTGCAGAGTTCTGTACTGTATGTTTCTGAGAGGCAACCCAACTCCTTTTCAGTCTACCACCCAAAGATCCGCTGTGCTGGCCTGTGTCAGAACACAGTGGGAGGTGAGTGAAGAATGGCTAAGTGACTCTAGGGTCGGGTGCCAGTGATAAAGAAGTCCAGCACCAGGTACCTTCTCCCAGCCTTCTGCTGAAGTGAGCTGAGGGCATAAAATAGCATTTTAAAAAGCAAGTCACAGGTTTAGAATTCCAGTAAGCTCCTGCTTAAACTAACATGCTCCCATATGCATTTGCCAGTGTCATCTCAGTGAAAGAAAGCAAATGCGAAAGAAAACACCGAGAAAAGTGACTTTACTATTCTTACCTGAAGTGCAATATACAGAAGTGGTCATTTCCAGAATGAAATGAAGAGTGGCCAGAATAATTTCACAAAAACATTTGGAGAATTCACATAGTTCTATGAAGTTTACAGAGCATGCCACCACACTGAGCATGGAGCCTGTTTAAGATTCTCATTCTCTATCTCCCTCTCTCTCCCCCCCCACCCCTCTCATGGGCTCGTGCCCTCACTTGCTCCCTAAAAAAAAGTTTATAGAGCATGCCTAAAAGAAAATATATGCCTATTGAAGTAAAGAAATATTACCCTGGTGTTCAGAATATCAGAATATATGTACGAGGGAGGGGGGGCAGGAAGGAATAGGGAGTAAATGCAGAATTTACAAAATAGTTAAAACCAAAAACTTGCTTTTTGAGATCTCTCTCACCTTAAGCCTAAATGTTTCATGCTCCCAAAGAATCCAGTTACAGGAACAAATTCATACTCACTGTCTCATTTTAACAATAAACAGGTTATAGTCTTAAGGTTTATTAAGCTGCTTATACAAATTTAAAGTCATGAGCATGACTTCAGGATCAGCACTTTTTATGTCAAGTGCTTTAACGAAGCAGTTTAAGGCCTCCTGTATTTTCCCGCACTCTTTCAGTTCTTTTCCACGAATTACAAGGGTCTCATAGTCGTTCACAGCCTCCACTGCCTCATCCTGGGGAGAATCAACCAACTGTCTGCCAGACAAAGAAGTCTGCTCTGGGTCACCAGGAGAGGTCTCTTGAGCCAAAGCATCAGGCTCAGGTGTTGTTAACTTATTTTCTGAAGGCAGCGTTTTGCCGGGAGGATCTTCTGTACACTCTGAGACTTCGCCACTGCTTTCCTCAGCTCCTTCCTCCAGGTAATCTTCAGCAATCTCTGCTTTGCTGCTGTCAAGTCTTTCCTCCATATCCTCCACGTGGTCTAAAACCATATTAATAAGAGACCTCCTCGAAGCCAGGGATCTTCTAGAGGTTACAGACTTATTT